CCCCTCCATTTGCCCCCCCCTCCCAAGAATGTGGCTATTGGGTGACATAGTAATGTGGCAGAAAAACCAAGAGTTTAGAAAAGTTGCATTTTTTGCACTCGAAGTCCACGCTGGTTGGGGATTCTGGAGCCTGCAGTCCAACCTCCACCAAATGCATCTGAGGAGTAGACTGACGTCTGCGAAAGCTGGTGCTGCCAATTTCTTTCTTGCATTTAGGGGGGTTACAGACTGCCAGAAATAGTGCAAATTGAGTCCACTTTTAGGGTTAGGGTTAGTGCTAGGGAGTCATGGGAATTGTAGTTTTTTTCCTGAGACATTGAGCCTTCTCTGTCAGAGAGCTCTGGTGCCACAATAAAATACAGTTCCCATGATTCCCTCAGCCTAAGCCTAACCCTTAAAGTGGACTCAATTTCCACTATTTCTGGCAGTCTGCAACCCCCCTTTGTCTCAAAGGTGCTACAAGGTCTCTCTACATACTGATTTCCCAAGGCATATAAAAGGTGTAAGGAACTAGAGCAGGGATTCCCAAACGTTGGTCCTCCAGATGTTTTAGACTTTAACTCCCAGAATTCCTGACTACTGGGGCTTTTGGAAGCTGAAGGCCAAAACAGCTGGACGATTAAAGTTTGGGAACCACTGGACTGGAGCAAGAATGGGGCAATCGGTGGCCATCCAGATGTTGCTGAAGTGCAACTCCCAGCAGTCCTAGCCAGCATAGCCAATAGTGAGGAATGCTGGGAATTGCAGTCCCACAGCATCTGGAGGGCTCCATGATTTTCACTCCTGGATGCCAGCCTTTTAGTGTCCCAGCTTGTGGGAGAAACCTTTCTTCTTGGGCTGGCTGCTGTGAAGGCACGACCTCTGCACATGCTCAGAGGAGCGGCTCCATGGTGCTGCAAAACAGGTTTGGTGAGGCTGAGGGCAGGGAAGGAATGGGGCTGTGCCAGCTGGATTCAGGGCGGTGACTTTGGAGAAGGAAGGAACCTGGAAATTGGGGGGATGTGACCGCAAGCAGTGTGTGTGTGGGTCTGTAGGCAGCTTTGATTTGGTGGGAGCGGAGAATGGAGTCCAGTGAAAAGCATCTTTTATTTGTTCATTTCAGCCACTGACACAGTATCAGCTGGGCTTCTCCTCCAGCAACACAGTGGAAAATTCATCTGAAGATTCAGCCCAGAGTGACTGGAGATCTCACCTGAGGAGGAAGTTTTAGGACTGTCGCAACTTAAAAAGGTGTGTGTTGCCCAAATCTGTCATCTATCAAATACAGGGAAGAGGAAAATGGGTTACTTGAGGGTTTTTAAACCTAGTTTGACTCCACTGTGTGCAAAGTTGCCACTTTCAGATAGTTTTGAGCATTAGTAAACAGGTTCCCTATATATATGCTAAGGCACAAAATTTTGTTCAAGCTTTTGAGCTACTCAGATCTCTTCTTTGGATAAGATGTTACAAAATTAGGTGGGGGGGGGAGGAGGGGGGAGACTTTATGTTGTAAACCAGGCTATTTGCCTTTTGCAGACCTATAGGCGGCGATTATCTGTATTTCTTTCTGCTAAGGGACTGAGCTGCCTTAGGTGGGTTGCAGACTGCCAGAAATAGTGCAAATTGAGTCCACTTTAAGGGTTAGGGTTAGGGTTAGGGAATCATGGGAACTGTATTTTATTGTGGCACCAGAGCTCTCTAACAGAGAAGGCTCAATGTCTCAGAAAAAAAAAATTCCCATGATTCCCTAGGACTAACCCTAACCCTCAAAGTCAGGGGTAGGCAACCTTTCCCCTTTAAGGGCTGAGGGACTTAAGCTCCCAGAAGCCTCAGCCATGTTGGCCAGTAGTCCCATGTTGGCCAATAGCTCCTGGGATTCTGGGAGCTGAAGTCCCTCGGCCCTTAAAGGGGAAAGGTTGCCTACCCCTGCTCAAAGTGGACTCAATTTGCACTATTTCTGGCAGTCTGCAACCCCCCTTAGTGGCTGAGGCAGGAAAGGTAAAGGGGGAAGTTAGTTGATAAGCGGATTAGAGTAACTGAAGGGGAAAGGAGCAAAAACCTCCGCTCCTCTGCCTTTGCTGAAGACCCCTTTCATCCTTTCTTTCCTGCCTATTTCTAAACATGTAGAATCTGCAGTGGGTGGACCTTGGGGACAGGTGGGTAATTTCCATGTGTTTGGGGCCCCATTCACCCACATATTATCTTACTGCAGGAGTTGGAGTCACACAGCCCTCCAGATATTGTTGGGCTGCAGCTCCCATCAGCTTTAGCCAGCATAGCCCCTAGTGAGGAATGCTGGAAGTTGTAACCCAACATCATGTAGGTGGGCCTCCTGATTCTCATCCCTTGCTTGACATACTGGTGTGATGAATGTATCATATAATTTTTTTTCTGCAGTGGACAAAATTGAGCTGGGTGGGGCTGTACAGACTGTCTAATACAGTGGTTCCCAAACTTTGATCCTCCAGATGTTTTGGACTTCGGCTCCCATAATATTTTTACTGTTTGCAAAGCTGGCTGCGACTTCTGAGAGTTGAGGTCCAAAACATATGGAGGACTAAAGTTTGGGAATCACTGGTCTAATCCATATTGGCCTGCCTGTTCATAATACCGTACAGTAGGCCCTTGGGGTTTGGTTCCAGAATGCCACAGTAGATACCAAAAGCCGTGGATGCTCAAGTTCCATTAAATACAATGGCATAGTGAAACAGTGTTTCCTATACAGAATAGCAAAATCAAGGTTTGCTTTTTGGAATTTATATCTTTTCAGAATCTTTTCAAGCCATGGGATGGTTGAATCCATGGATAAAGAATCCATGGATAGGGAGGGTCGACTGTATACCTTAATTTTCCCTTGCTTTTTGCAGATATTGTGTGAGCATTTGTAGTTTAATTTAAGGGCTTTAAGCATGTTGCTGCCCTCTAAAGGATGTAGCCAGGAGTGCTCTGCCAGTCATCTTCCTAAACCTAAGGTGATTTCAGTCTCCCCACCCCATACTGTGCAACTCTTTAATTGCTTTTCTTCCTCAGAAGGGACCCATTGGATGTTTACAGTGCTCCAAGGATGCCTCTTCCAGCAAAACAGTTAGTCACAGAGATCTTCCCATTTATGTCAGGAATCTAGCTAAACAGGACAGGATTTTGCTTCTTACCTGATTTTGGTTTCCAACTTGATGTGTGCCATCTCTGGGCACCAGATCCTGTCTGGTCTTGACAGCTAAGCTGGGCCAGCCCTGGTTAATACTTGGATTGGAGACTGCCAATGAATACCAGGCACTGTAGGCTACATTTCAAAGGAAAGAACTGGCAAAACTCCTGTGACTAGTATTCCTTGCACTAAGAAAACTCTCTGAAATGTATGGGTTTGCCCTGTTGACAGGTGACTTGGAGGCCCATAGAAAGGCACACAGCCCATGCAAACCCGGGAGCAGAGAGGCTGCACCTGAGTTGTGGGTGGAGGTTTGCCAGTCACAAGCCATGCTCACCTAGCAGAAGGAGTTTGCTGAGAGGAGGCAAGGCTTTGTTTGCTCCCAGGTGGAGGACGCTGAACCTATTTGCTCTGTCCTCAGAGGAAGCTTCTGTGAAGTAACCACCTGTATTTTCAAAAGCCACAGAGAGCCAGATATTTGTGTTTCCAGGAGCCGACACCGTATCAGATGTTCAGCTTTCCTCAGCTTTGCACGAAAATGACTTATGATTCATTTGTTGTGTCTCTGCTCTGTTGAGTCTAACTTTAGTCTCCCAAAGGTGTAGCCTCTGGAGGGAGAGTGGAACGAGGCATTGGTCCCCAGCAAAGAAGAATCCTGCCTTCCCCAAATGAATTTTTCTTTCCATCCCTCAATGCTTAGCATTGCAATGTGTGTGTGTGATATTGAAAATCATTCATACCTCATGATGAATGATGAAAAGAGTATTTGGGAACTGAATGGCTTTGAGTGAGCAGGAGGTGAGAGGTTGCATATAATGGAATCAGAACTTCTGGATTTTGTCTGTAGTTTTAGGGAGAAGGATGGGAAATGGCAGGTGGATTCCCAGTTGCCCCACCATTCTTCTTCTGCTTCTTTGGACAGAAATATATTATTTTGTGCTAGGCAGGAAGGCAGGTTGAAAACAAAAAAAAATCTTTCCCTCTTTCCCCTGTAGAATGAGACTGAGTGGAGAAAGGGTGATAGCTGGCTTTGGACACACAAAATGTATTGGGGCATCCCTGAGGAAGCGCATGTGCACGCATGTGCACGCTCTAAGCAAAGATATTCCTGCTAGAGAATGAAATGAGGAATCTAACAGCAGAGATGTTCTGGTACTTAGTCTTGAGCTATCCTTACCTATCTCCTAGGCAATATGTATAAATAATATCTTTGTTATTACACTTGTAGACAAGATTTTCCTCCTAGTATGTGAGGTGCATTCTGTTGTTTCTGGAGGATAGTGAAGCCTTTTGGGAGAAAAATGGACAACAAAGGAGAAAAATATGCAGAAAGATTACAGGCAAGAAGCTGCAGGGCCCATTCATAATCATTCATAATTTGGTGTTCTCTTCATCATCCATATCCACAAATGGGCTTCTCTGTTTCTGGTGCATAAGGTACCAATTAATGTAGACGTTGCTAGTGTTGCTGTACCATAGTTGCTTTTCTGAACTTTGATCTTGTTGTTGTTGTGAGTGTCTTCAAGTCATTTCTGACACTATCATGTAGTTTTTTTTTTTGCAAGATTTGTTCACAAAGGGCTTGCTTTTTTCTTCCTTGGAGGCTGAGAGAGTGTAACTTGCCCAAGGTCACCCAGTTGGATTCCATGGCCAACTGGGTATTTGAACCCTGGTGTCTAGAGTTGTAGTCCAACATTCAAACCACTACACCACATTGGCTCTCTTACTCATCCATTTAAGGCCTTTGCAGACTGCCAGAAATAGTGCACATTAAATTGAGGCACTGCCCTGGCTCAGTGCTAGGGAATCATGGGAACTGTAATTTATTGTGGCACCAGAGCTCTCTGACAGAGAAGGCTCAATGTCCCAGAAAAAATTACAGTTCCCATGATTCCCTAGCACTGAGCCAGGGCAGTGCCTCAATTTAATGTGCACTATTTCTGGCAGTCTGCAAAGGCCCTTAGATTACCAATGATCAGAAAAAGGGCTGGCTCAGCACTACATATATTGTGGGTGTCAGCTTCCCTACCACTTCTAATAGCCTAGATGAGGACCTTGTGGCTTTCCAGATATTGGCTCCTTTTCCTAGCATCCTTCATCATTGATTATGCTGGCTAGGATAGGATAGGAACTGTAAACAAACAATATCTGAAGGGCCATTTATTTCTCTTTCCTGCAGTAGACTTTGCCTGAAAGTGCCCCCTCACAAGCTTGGTCTGGATTTCAGCAAGCATCCACAGCTAGCAGACTTCTCATGCACTACCAACAGTACGAATTCAGTCACACAGTGAATGCTGAATTTGCACCAAAATTAATTTGGTTTTATTGGCTTGGTAGAGTCAAGGTCTCCAGGAAAGCCACATAGCTTTAAGGGTCCATTGTAGAATAAGAAAACATTGATATGGGCTGAGTATAATTCCTGCTACAGATACCTACATGTAGTATATGAAGTGGTGAAACTGATGTAGTGGACCTAAAGCCTTAGGAACCGGATTTCTTGCCTGTTTCCTACTGTGCTGCTTTCTGCTGCCCAAAAGCTGAGCAGTTCACTTTTTGAGGTCAGATGGAATGATTGGTTGAAATAGTGGTCAGGAACACCACAAGAAGGGATTCTGTGCATTTCAAGAGAAGCTAGTGTTAAGAAAAATTAGATTTGCAGAAAGCGAGCTGAAAAGAAAATGTATTGTGTGCTAATGCTTGCTCTTAGATTGTAGGGCTAATGCTAATGTGATGACTTAGGAGGTAAACTTAATAGTCTCACATCCTTGGTTAACTTTGGCACATTTCATGCCCATCTCCTGACATCTGTTATGCCATGACTATGGCAACCAGAATCTTGAAGACCATTCTGTTCCATGGGTTGCTGTATTCTCTGGGCATCCCTTGGGCAGAATCTAACCGCAGTGAAGTTATGGGTTCAGCTGTTTGGGATCCCTGCAAATGGCTTCATCCATAGCCCAGATACATATGTAGTTCCTGAGTCAGGCCCACTGCTATCCAGTCCTGAGCCAAAAGAAAGGAACTCAGCACAAGCTATTGAAAGCAAGGTCACTCTTCTGCTGCAACTAAGGATTAGATCTTTGTACTGGTAGTGTCGGAGGACAGATCAACCATCACCATGAATACTATAGCTGGGTGAGTGAGTAGTTCTTGCCAAACTAAAGGAGAAAGATCTGAGAGTGCCTGGAGGTCTGTGAGGTTTTTTGTGTAGAAAGCCCTGTCAGTGTCAGCTGTGGATTCATCTTCATGGACAGTTTCCATCACCAGTGGCGAATGGTGGCTCTCCTGTCAGTGTGATGGTAAACCTGCTCTAGGTTTTAGTCTTTAAAGGAGGCACAAGATGCTGAACCTATTCAATTCAGCATCTTGAACAGCTCCATTATTTCAAAGTAAAATCTGGGTAGATGGGAGGTTTCAATATCTCACTGACCTAGAAGCCACCAGCTGCCACTGCCCATATTTCAGAGTGGGGGAGCTTTTAGCCCTCCAGGTTATTTTGGACTGTAGCTCCTACAGTTCCTTACCATTGGCCTCGGTGGCTGGGGCCTGTGAGAGTTGAGGGCCAAAGCATCAGCAGGGCCAAAAATTCGTTATCCCCATGACTGTTGCGATGTGATATTATCAGGCATTATAATGTGTAATCTTCCAGGTAGATCACAAAATAAACTGCCTGTGTTTCCAAGGCTGTGGTTCCACCAGGGCTGGAACTATGACATTCTTGCTTTTGTTCATGTTTTATTACCATGCCTTGCAAATTGTTGATATTATCTAGCATTGACCTCTTTGTGATCTAACTACTGCAGTTCATTTTGAGGCAAGAGGTTCCTAAAAAACACTGAAGAGCATCAATTCAAGTTATCTTCACACACACACACACACACACACAGTTTTTAAAACAATTCTCCCTGGGAACATTTTGCTTTTTCTGTATTTCTGAGATGTGGAATCAGACTTTACAGATGTTTTTGGACTCTTACCTTCCTCTGCTTCAGCCAGTGATCAGGCACTGTAGGAAATGCAACCCAATTACATCTAGAGGGCACAGGTTCCCTTCCCCATTTCTTGTGTATTTAAAGTTATTACCAAACATGAGTGAGGAGTTGAGGAGTGGCTGTTTCTTGTGTGTTATAAGGGGTAACCTTGGAATTTCCTATGTAACTATGTTGCTGGCCTGTTTTTGTATAAATAGAATCTATATTTTATTGAATTTAGCAGCCTTAAATGAACAAATGTTTCCTGAATCTAAGATAAGCAACCTTGCTGCTAGATGCTGTGGCCCTTCAAATGGACTGCAGCTCCCATGTTCTGTCAGCTATACTGCTAAAAGCTGATAGGACTTGGAGTCAAACAACTTCAGGACAGCCTCACGTTTTCCATCCCTGCTTAATGGAATAACTGCTTGTGATAACATTGCTGTATCAGATGGAGGAAATTTGTCTACTTTGGCTTTCTTTTTATGTCATGTGTAAACTGATCTAGGGTAGGAACTATTTGAAAAACCTTAATTCCCTAGAGCAGATTTCTCTGATGCTTGCATCTTCAGATCTTTTGGACTGCAGCTCTGTTGGAGTGTGGATGGGTTATACAGTCAAAGGAGAAATGTAGAGATATGTGTGTGGAAATTTCCTCTGCATACCACATCCGAATATCAACAAGCTCCTACCCCCTTCAAGCAGCCTAGCCGTTGGTCAGGAGACTGAAGGGTAGATATTTCCCATGTGTATTGCAGAGTGAGCATTATTTCTGTTATGACTAGATGGGGGAATGAACAACGGACACCTAGAATGCAGTCGAATTATGTATATTGTCTCCTGTGGCCAAAATTACCCAACAACCTCTCATTAAATCTGGCATTTCTGAAAGGGAGAGACCACCCAGACATGAACTACTCTAACCACTTGCCCCTTTCCTCTTTTTTGGTAGAACTATGATCCCGGTGGCTGAATTCAAGCACTTCACAGACCAGCAGCCTGCTTTCAAGGTTCTCAAACCATGGTGGGATGTATTAGCTGAGTACATCACCATTGCCATGCTGATGATAGGAGTTTTTGGTTGCACCCTGCAAGTAAGTATGCATAGGAGAACCTTCCTGACTCTCCAGTGGGAGTCCAGTATCACTGGAAGATATTGTTTTGGCCATGGCAGAGAAGAACTAATATAATGGGAGAAAAGAAAAAACAAATAAAAAATGGAAAATACTATAAATCCCTAAGCACCACAAAATATTCAAAGTAGAATATGTTTAACTTTGAATATTTTGTGGTACTTAGGGATTTATAGTATTTTCTATTTTTTATTTGTTATTTTTTTCTTTTCTCCCATTACATTAGTTGTTGTTATAAGCCTCCTGTCGTGTTTGGTTTCATGGCAGAAAAGACTCTAGAATTTGGAGACACTCTGGACAGGTGTAGCAAAGAACAGATGGACTGATGGCCTGGTGCAAAGATGGTCAACTTCTTCAGCCCAAATATAGCAGTGGCACTGGATTTCCTGTAGCCAGTTGTTTGGTGGCCACAGGCCCTCTAGAGATGACATTGTACCCTCTCAGTAACATATACAGAGAGTGTCTAGAATATGCAGGAAGAAGAGTGATGAGTTCTTATGCATAATACAGAGGCAGATATTAAAGTACTGTACACTCACCCTGTGCCATAGCTATACAACAGGCTAAATTATAAATTAGTATAAATTTGGCTTGCTTTGACTGCACATGCAGTAGAGTTGAGATGATAAAAATGGACTATTGTCATTGAGAGAGGATGCAATTTTTAATTGCTCCTCATGTTTTTTTTTTTAAATGAAAAAGAACCTCTACAAATAAAAACAACTACTACTACCTTGTCTGTCAGGGAGAGCAAGTCTAGCCCAGCCCCGCTCCCTGCTATGCTGGTTTTTTACCTAAAGGGAGTTTTTTTCATAACCTTTCAAAAATGTAATCTTCCACTTACAGTCTGAAGTGATAAAGCTAATTCAACTTTTTTATAGGGTGGGGGGAACCAATTCTTTCCCACTTATTACAAATCATTCTATTACACTGGATCTTGTTCGGTCATTATTCCTTTCTCTTTTTCTTTGTCATGGCATGACAGGTGATACATGATAAGATTATTTGTCTTCCCAACCATGTTCCTAATGGCACAACCTCCAGTGATGTAACCTGTGAAGATTTCACCAAGAGGAGAATTAGTGCCTCTCAGCCAACTGAGACCTCTGCCTACCAGGAAATGAGTGGACGGCAAAACAACCTAGACCTGCAACAGTACAGCTACATCAATCAAATGTGTTATGAGACAGCCCTCCATTGGTATGCCAAGTACTTCCCCTACCTTGTCGTCATCCACACCCTCATCTTCATGGTGTGTGCCTCTTTTTGGTTCAAATTTCCTGGGACCAGTTCAAAGATTGAACATTTTATTTGCATTCTGAGCAAGTGCTTTGACTCACCTTGGACTACTCGAGCCATTTCAGAAGTCTCTGAGGAGGAGAATGGGACCTCAGAGAAAATGGGTCGGAGAAAGAAAATAAGCACTACCAGTGAGACAATGGAACTTTCCCCTTTGAGGGGTTCACTTTCAGAGAAGAAGGTCACAGAGTCCCCCTCCTCCATTAGCTTGTTGGACAAAAAGGAAGGTGAGCAGGCCAAGGCTCTCTTTGAAAAGGTGAAGAAATTCCGGCACCATGTTGAACAAGGAGATATCCTCTACACCATGTACATCCGC